TTTTATTGCTTTGTTTACTTGCTTTAATCTCTGTAGAAGCTTAGTTTTAGGTTTAGATAGATTTTACTGCATTGTTTTAGGTTCTGTCATAGATTAGCATAAGATTAGAATAGTTTAAGTGTAGTTAGGTTCTCATTTTAATTTTCCGTACTACAAATTCCCCTTGAATACTGAAAAACTCATAAATATACATTACTTAACTCATTCCATCATTCACATCACACATTTACCACTGTTTTGAACATTTTGACCGAAGTGACCACTGTCACTCGGTCAGGTTTTCAGCCACACGCACCAAAACACTCTCACACGGTCATCTCACATTTTTAAAACTCAAAATACAAAAATATTTGCATTTACATCGGTCAACCGTACATTTTATACACTTCATTTGATTCTTGACCGAGGCATTTCTTCATATATTCATTTTGACCGAGACCTTTTATTTTGTTGATTTTCTGACCACTTTTCTGACCACCAGTACTGTTCACTACGGTCATTTTCCATTTTAAAAACTCAAAACTAAAAAATATAATTACACTTCACTCGGTCATTCATATATTTTACACCTTGAATTTGATTATTGACTGAGAAATTGTTTTTACATTTCATTCTGACCAAGAGTTCACATTTCTGACTGTGGTTTCTGACCGTGGTTACTATTCATTGTGGTCAGATTTATGAATTTCGTTTAACTTCATTCATCTGCATTTTTTTCATTTCTGTCTACATTCTTATAGGTCAATCATATATTTTGTTCACTAATTTCCATTTTTGACCGAGACAAGTCATTAGTTTTCGTATGTTGACTAGAGAGCACAAAATTCGACCAGTGATTCCTGACTGTTATTACTTGTTCACGTCGGTCGATTTACGATATTGACCGTGGTTACTTGTTCATTACGGTCAGATTTGTGATTTTGGGTCAGATTTGTGATTTTCCATATTTTTAGCCATTTTTGCATTCTGCAGTACTTTCATTCACTGCATATTAGGATTTTACCTCATTTTAATTTAGTCTAAGATTGTAAATTTCATTTTTAGTTTAGTTCCCCATTGAATCATTCATAACTCAATCATATACTCTTATTACTTCCACGGATTGATATTCTGGTTCCCATTGTACTGCATTATTACTGTTTTAGGGGAACTCATTTGAAAGTGTTGAAACTGCGACATATCAATTTAACTTCTTTCAGTATACATGGCACCCCATTCTAAGATTAGATTTCGGCATCCTCGCCGAATTTGGGTGGGAAGATGACATTCGTTCCCACATTGACAGCATAGGGTGGCGCTTCCTCCTCCAGTCTCCACCTACCCACGTCTACCCTCAGGCGGTGTTAGAGTTCCTCGCCTCCATCTCCTACGCCGAAACCCCCTCCATGGTACCGGGTCTGTCACCAACAAAAATGGTGACGTACTTCATGGGTGGGATGTACCGGACCACCACCCTGGACGAGTTCAATATGACCATTGGATTCGTTCAGCCCGAGGACGTGCTGACTTGGGACTACCAGGATGCCATCTGCGCACGCCCCACCAACCTCACCGCCGGCGAGATGTGGGAAGAGCTGATCGGGGCGCACACTTTGCCCACACTGATGAAGGGCTCTGCACTTCCCCCCGCCCTCCGTATCTACCACAAGCTACTTGCTGGGACTGTCCACGGGCAGAAAGAAAGCCAGGATAAAGTTACCCTCCCGGACCTCTTCATCCTCTACTGCATGAGCCAGAGGCGCCGATGCAACCCTGACTATTTCTTCCTGAAGGCCCTCAAGGACTTCGGGAGTCGGCCCATGGGAGTCGTCTTCATGGCTCCTCTCATTACCCCCCTGGCAGAAAAATGGGGGTGCAGTGGCAGGGAGGAACTGGCCGGTCCTAGTCAGCATGGGGATGCTGCTACGCCAAGGGACCCGGCTGATCCTCCACCCCTCACTGGATATATCTTTGGATCTGCGGGATCTCGTAGCAATGCACGATCTCCCAACACCTCCCGAGTTCCAACAACAGCAGCAACAACAACAACAATAGCAGCAGTACACAGACGATTTTGCTGGCATCAACCGCAACATCTATGATTTGCGCCAACAATTCGACCAGATGTCTATGAGACAAGAGCAAATGTCTCTAAGAAAGGATGTCTTCGACACGAGATTGGAGACATTAAACCAATACCAAGAGGGAATAAGGCAGGACTTGGCGGCTTTCCGGCAGGAGTACCGCGACCAAGCCCGGGACCAAGCAGAATTCCGAAGACATCTGTACCGGCAATTCCCCTCTTATGGATCGTCTCCAGAATCGAGTCCTCCGTCTTAGGGATAGGGCTGAGAAAAAAAACTGTTGTAATAAATTTTTATAAAATTGTGTTTCATACATTTTGCTCTCCCTTTCAAAATGAGTCAGCGTAACAAAAAAAGAAACTAAGAGTAAAAAGATGTACGCTCAACAAAGCCAAAATCCAAGATCACGAGAAAAAAGAGATAAAGTCACGGAAAAAGGCAGGATTAAAGAAAATCAAGCATCTTGACCAACAATCTTTCGGCAATCAAGCAAGAGCCAAACAAAGAAAACAAGACTACCCGACAACCAGCAAATTCAGATGACCACCACCAAAAGAACAAAATCAAAAAATCCCCAGCAACCAACAAGCTGGATGAACACCAACAGAATCCCTAACACAAACCAGGCGACCATTCTCAGAAAAGACAAACAAGAGAACACATCTCAACACTCGGCGCATGAGCTAGAGCAATAAGCCACCACAACCAAAGGATCAGCTACCGCAAGAAGGAGCATCCGGAGGCACTTCACCAGATGGGGGTTGTAGACCCCAAATCTTGCCCGGCCTCCAAATAAAGACCAGAAGACCTCCTATTTGAAGATGGACAAAGCCTAACAAGCCACTAGGAGAGACTTTTAGGCCCCATATTAGGATAGGAAGGTTTTTCTGCACAAAAATAAGTTTTCTCGCCTCTTTGGGACGAGACCGCCGTCTCGCCTCAGGCAAGTGGCGAGACCGCCGTCTCGTTTGATGAGACGGCGGTCTCGCCACCTGCAAATGGCGAGACGGCGGTCTCGCTTCCCCAGATGGCGGTCTCGCCACCTGCGAATGGCGAGACGGCGGTCTCGTTTGGCGAGACGACGGTCTCGCCATCTGCGCAGGACGAGACGGCGGTCTCGTTGGACGAGACGACGGTCTCGACCCTGTCAGACGAGACCGCCGGTCTCGCCACTGTCAGGCGCGAAAACCTATAAATAGGGGTCCTCCCCCCCTCATTTTCACACACCACAAGCTTCTTGCTCTGCCTTCTCTCTAAAAACTTCTCTCTAGAATCCCTCCGACGCATTTCCGGAGTTTCTGAGTGTCTTTGAGAGCATTTTTCGGCGTCCAGAAGAGTTTCCGGCGTCTTGTAGAGTGAAGGGCTGCCAAAAAGCACCCATTTCTTTTAAAGAAATAAAAACAAAGCTTGCTTCGGAGGTTTAATTTCTCCTTCCCTACTTTTACTGCTTTAATTTAAATTATGCAATAGATTAGGGCCATGTAGTCATCACTTTAAATTCCGCACAATAAAAAGGGCAAAAGAGTATTTTCTGGTTTATTTATTAACATAAAAGCTGGCCTGTCATAGGGAACCCGAAAGGGGCGTAGTAAAGAAACTAATACTTCCTTTACCACGTAACTAACTCCCTTACCCAACTCTGGTTCTAATGACCAAAGTTGGTTTTCGAAAACCAACGCCTTTTAAAAACATTTTCCGATGTTTCCGGTAAAAACGTCGGTGGCGACTCCATAGAACCCAAAATAAATAAGTCCTTGGGTTAGCCCGGTTATCGGACAACCCAAGGACACCTTTCGAAAACCTCGCCCCTAGGTTAGCCCGGTTATCGGACAGCCTAAAGGCGTTGTAACCACCCATAAAAACGCGAAATCAAAAAGGGTCGAAAAACCATCGCGTCGCTCCGACCGACCTTCTCTCTTTTGAGACGGCGGCGACAGATGGCGACTCCGCTGGGGAAGCCTTGAGAGTTGATCCCATTTAGTGATGGACCAGCTTAAAAAATAAATAAACCAAGAAAATAATGATTTTGCCCTTACCTTGTATTATAACATGTTTTACGGTTTGGCTTTAAATAACTGTTGTCTGTTTATACTTCCGCAATTGTGTGAGATACAAATTGTACACAAACCTTTGCACACAACAGTTCCCTCTATACCCGGGGGCAAGTGAGAAAACCATAGGGAGTGGGTGGCAGGTACGGTTCGCTGTAGTGAGGGCCTTGTGCCCACCAGTGTGATCGGAAACCACCACTCAAGGTGATAACCTTCCTCTTTTGGCAACAAGACTGACTACGGCCTTAGTGCTAAGCATAGTCGGACGGCTAGAGAGTGGGGACCCTATAATGGGGGCACCTTGGGGGCCTTAGCCTGGTGAGAACAGTTAGAACCAACCCTCGCCAATGCACTTTTCTGCAGGAAAACCCTACCTCGTGTTAAAAACGAATTCTCGCCTGTTCGTGGATGACCGAATTGTGTGTGCATATGTTTGTTGCATTTGTCTGTTGCATAGCATAAACAAACAACAAAATAAAAACAAAAAAATATTTTCACAAATAAACACTCTTATCTCGGACAGTCTGCCTTTTAGGTAGCCTGGTTTCAGGTTCTTTGTAAGCTAAGTAGCCACGCAGTTCCGACAGAAGAGATAAGGGACGCTAAATAACCCTTTCGCATAAAGCCATATTTTTATCTCGGACGATCATGCCTTTTAGCTAGCCTGGTTTCATATGTAAAAAGATAAAAAATAAGAAAAAGATAAAAAAATATAAAAAATAAGAAATTAAATTTGTAAATATAAAAATATATTTAATAATTATTACATATGTTAGTGTCATGCTAATATAAGTTATTTTTTGAGAATAATGATTAAGTTTTAGCAAGTATAATGATTAAATTTTAAGAAGTATAAACTTTGAGAATAAAGATTAAGTTATAAAACTTGAGGGTGACGAATCTCGTCACTCGCCACTGGTTACCAAATCCAGTCCAACCAATCCACACGGACAACAACGACCGAGAACCAAACATCAAGATATTCAAACTCAAATGAAACCATTGTCGAACCAGACAATCCAAAATCATGTTCATATTCAATCTAGACCAATCCTTCATCGAACAGAACTAAACCGAATAATACAAACAAATGCAATGCAGACCCAAACAAAATAAGCAGATTCAGCGGAAATGGGGAACACAGACAGGTGGCGCAACGGGTTGGCTCGCGTAAGAGTGATCTTGAGTGAAGGTGGCTCGGTGGCTGAGAAACGCTCTCGGGTCAGAGGGAGATGATTCGCGGCACAGGGGCTGGCCGTATGGTGGTGGATTCTTGGGGCGTCACGGGGTGTGTGTGGGTGGTTTTGCTTGATGGAGAAGGTGGCCATAGGGCGGTGCGCAGAGGTGTGGTGGCTAGGGTTCGAGTTACATGATGGCCGCATTGTTGTAGTCAGGATTGTGAGGGTGGCTCGAGGTAAAGGCGGTGTGGCAGTTTATAGCAAGGGCGAGTAAGGCAAGAGATGGTTACAGTGGAGGTTCGGCCTGTAAGGGTGCTGGGCGAGGCTGAGTGGGCTTAGGGAGAAGGATAGCACGACTGCACAGTGAGGAAGTGGCTGGGATTTGGCTGACTCGCTGTGGATCACTGGGTGAGGCCGCAAAGGCTAGATTTTGCAGCGTAGCTGGAAGATGTGGGTGAGACGCGATAGGGAGCGGGTGATGGATGGAGATCCCGCGATGGCTGTGGAGAAGAGATTTTGAGGTGATTTGGTGAGGCGGTGGATGGTGGTCGTGCGGTGAGTAGAGACGGAGAGAAGGGATGGCACGGTAGGGTCATGTTCACCCGAAACTTTAATAATTTTTTTAGTATTATGAATAAAAAAATATTAGTTTCTATGGTCTTCTTTAAATTTGGCTTCTAATTAATTAAAGTTTTGATCCCATGAAAATGAATTCTTGACTCCACCCCTAACAGTGAGTGATGCTGGGAGAAATGAAAGTGAATGAGAGTGGAGATGGAAGATGATGTGTGTGGGTGAGGGAGGGAGGAAGTGAGCGGAGGGGGTTCGGGTGAAGGTCTGGAGGCACGACAAGGGAGGAAGACGTGAGAGGGAACGCTTGGTGTGCAGCATCGGGAGAGTATAATGAATATTTTACCATTATAACATAAAAATTAAGAGATTAAAGAGTATACCTCAATGCCTTCTCTTTTCAAATTTCTTGAGTTGCCCTTTCCTTGTGATCTGTCCACCTTATACGGTTATTTTGTTTTTTTATTTTTTTATTTTCTTTTATCCCTTACTATTACTATTCACTTTTTTTTTTTTAAACCATAGGGTAACCTTCTCAAATGAGTTGCGCCCAAAAGACAAATAAGAGAAAAAATATATTTTTTTTTAACTTTTCTGTTTTTTTTTTTAATTTAAAAATTTATTATTTTTATTTTACAATTTTTTTGAAAAGGTAAAAGGGAACTATTTTTCTAGTTCTTTTTTCATTTTTCATTTTTTTCTTTTGGATTTTAAAAAGTAAAATATTAGGAAAAGTGGAACTATTTTATTTTATATATGTTTTTTACTTTTTCTTTATTTTTTTATTCCTTTAATCCTAATTTTTTTAATTTTTTCTCAAGAAAAACATTGTTATTTATTATTATTATTATTTGTTTTATCTATACGTAAGAAATTGGATACTTGACACCTGAAGAACTAAATTTTGAGAATTAATTCACAGAATTAGTATCAAACAAGCTCAATTGAGTTTGTATTAATAAATTTATACTTCAAATTTTTTCTTCTTTTTTTAATCTTAGTTTTGCATCTTAAGATATTAATTTGTAATACTATTTTTAGAAATCAAATTAGATATCAATTTGTAATAATATTTTTAGAAATCAAAATTAGGAATCGATTAAATCTTGCTTTATACTTAGATATGGATTATATTGAATAATATCGAGATGTAATTTGTATAATCGATTTAATTGATTAATTGAATAGGTTAATTACTCAAGCATGTATTAAACACTACAACAAAAACATCAAATAGTGATCGAATTTTCGGTCACTAAATGATCAAAATCGATCACTAACTAAAATAGTGACCGAAATAGTAACCAACCCAAATCGGTCACTATTTCCTTGGTCGCTGATTTGACCAATTCGATGACCGAATCGATCATCTGATCTTGGTCACTAACAAAAACATTAAAAAATTTAAAAAATTAAAAATATTTTTTTATAACCCCTTTCTATTTTATACATTCTTTTATAATATATTTTTATTATTTATTATATTTTTTAAAAATTTGAATTATTATTAGATTGAAAGAATTGTTACTAGCAGAATTCGAATCCAGTACCTTAGATTTAGAGATTGATACTCCAACCACTAAACTACTAGGAATTTTTTATAAAAGTTTATAAATAAATTATATTTATATACAAATAAAAATATATATCCAGTGTAAATATATAAATACAAATACAAATATATATATATATATATATATATATATATATATATATATATATATATATATGTGTGTGTGTTGGATGTGTGGGCGCGCTCGAGGTTGAAAGTATGTCGAGTGGATTTTTAAAATTTGATGTCAAATTTGTGAGCGGGTCTCTTTATATGAGTTTATAATTTAATGACACAATATAATCTTTATAATTTATTTATATAATGATATAAAATAATTTTTTTCTTTATTTATTTTTATTTTATTTTAATTTATTCTTCTTATATTTTTTTCTTCTATTATTTAATTAAAATTCTTATATTAAAATAATTTTTTTCAATATTAAAAATAATTAAATATTTATTTTTAAAATTATTTAATTTAACAAATTATTATAAATTAATCTAATTATGATTATTAATAGAACAATTTTTTCCTAACATATATTATTATAAATTAATCAAAATCATCTTTTAATAATTATTTTTTCCAAACATAGATTAATTCATAATAATTTGTTAAATTAAATAATTTTAAAAATAAATATTTAATTATTTTTAATAATGAAAAAATAATTTTAATATAAGAATTTTAAGTAAATAATAGAAGAAAAATAAAAGATAAAAAGAATAAATTAAAATAAAATAAAAATAAATAAAGAAAACAATTGTTTTATATCATTATATAAATAAATTATAAAGATTATATTCTATCATTAAATTACAAATTCATATAGAGAGACTCGCTCACAAATTTGACATCAAATTTTGAAAACTCACTCGACACACACTTTCACCCTCTAGTGTGATCCTCACATCAAACATATAAATATATAAATATATCAAAATATATAAATATATTTGTATTTATATATTTACACGGATACACATTTATTTATATATAAATATAATTTATTTGTAATTTTTTATTAAAAAATTCTAACAGTTTAGTGATTGAAGTATTAGTATCTAACTCTAAGGTACTTGGTTTTGAATCTTATTAGTAATAATTTTCTTAATCTGATTAAAAAAAATTGTTAATAAGAGAAATTATATATTTTTGTAGAAATTAGAGCAACTAAATTGTTGTTATGGACTAAAACCCAAAAAGTAAAAAATAAAAAATATAATTAAATAAAAGAAAAACTATATACTTTTGCATTTTTATTTTCAAATATTAGTTTTTTTATGAAATTATTTTTAATTAAAATAATTAAAATGATATATATATATAAATTTTTTTATTTTTTATTTTAATTTATTAATATTATCAAATTTTAGCTTCATGATTAAAAAAATACCAATAATTTAAATTTTATTAATTCTATAATTTAATATAATTATTATTATAAATTTAATTTTCCAATAACTAATAATATTAACACATTTATTAAATTAAAATTCTTTATTTTAATTAATTATTTTGATTTTTTTAACAATATTTTTAAATAAAAATGATAAAACTTAAAATTAATTTCTAACTAAATCTTCACAGATTTATGGTTAATAGTATATTATATTATTATGTTTAATTAAATTTTAAAATAAGTTCACTTAATCTTTACACTTTTATAAAAATACTAATATAAACTTAAAATATTTATCCAATTACTAAATTATTTAAAATATTAATATAAATTTGAAATATCAATTCAATAATTAAAATAATTTTAATTTTTTTATAAATACATTGAAATACATTTTTATTAACATAAAAGTAATATATATATATATATATATATATATATATCAAAAAGAGACTAAATTAATAATTAATTTAATCATTGATTATATATATATATATATATATATATATATATATATATATATATATAAAAGAGATTAAATTAATAATTATTTTAATGATCGAATCTAGTGACTAATTTAATAATTAATTTTAATTTTTTTATTCACATACTAAATTAAAAAATAAAATCAAATAATTATATTACTAAATTATTTAATAAGTTAATAAACTATTTTTTAAATTTTTTATAATGTTATTAAAACTTTTATCAATTATTTTAAATTATTAAGTAGATTTATATTTAATATATTAATAAAATATTTTTAAAAATTATTTATATAAATAAAAAATGGTCACTAATTTATATATTATTTGTTTGGTGACTGAAATTTTAGTCACTAAATCAGTCACCGATTCGAGTCATTATTAGTAACTGAATTTTTCTGATCACCAATTTCGATCACTATTAACCATTTTTCTAGTAGTTACTGAATCAGTGATCGATTTGGTGACCGAATCAATGACCGATTTTCGTGATCTGAAATTTAGTCACTAAATAAGTCACTAAATATAAAACGGAAATCAGTAACTGATTCAGTTACTATCAGTGACTGGATTTTTCGTTTACTAATTTCGGTCACTATTAACCATTTTTCTAGTAGTGAAAATATTTAGAGAACTACGATAAAATGATTATTTGATTGAGAATTTATTGATTGATATATCTTTTTCTTTTTATTTTGGTTTTCTAAGTTTTTATTCCTATTTTGATTTACAATTTTTGTTTTACATTTTTTAACCCCCAAATTTAACTTTTTTGAAAAGAATATTAAGAATTGAATAAATTTTAATATGTGTCATTGAAAAGAATGACTAAGTTTGCACTCTATATTACAAAAAAATTAGACTAAACTTAGTATCTTTGATTTCATAAATGACAATGAAAATCAAAAACCCAAATTTCAAAATTTCCAAAATCATACATGAATTAAGTATGGGTGATTCTAATATGAATTTTTGTTTTTTTTTCTAGCAAATAATAATTGTGGCTAATCACATACCACAATCATATATTAATCCTTAATGAACCTATCACTACAAGAAATTTCTGAATTACCAACGGATATATACCGATGGATGTAGAGCCGTCGGAAAATGAGTAATTACCACGGAAATTACCCACGGATTTAAGATAGTTGTGAAATTTGGTTTTACCGACAGATATATCCATCGGTAAATGAATTATTAATTATCGAGGGATATATCCCTCAGTAAATAAGGAGGAAATGCTTACAGATCGGATATTACCATACAAATAATATAAATATAATATTTAATAATATATTTTAAAAATATTATTTTAATACGTTTAACCATGAATGTAAATATATTATAAATTTTAAAAAAATTATATATATATAACATAAATTAAAATTACATATATTAATTTCAAATTAATTTCAAATTTAGTATATATATATATATATATTAAATATATAATTATATATATATATATATATATTTATTTATTTATTGTATACATTACAATAAT